CAAGCACTTAGAGTAACACTTTCACAGAAATCACATCTCATTAGCTTCTCCCTGTGGGAAGGAGGCTGGGGAGAGAGTGATAAATTGGAATCATCTCCCATTCCACACAGAAAGAAAGTAAAAGGAGCCAAAAGACCAAGACATACAAAGATGGCTTTTGTGTGTATATAGAATAGATGTGCATTTGCTCACTGAAGTAGAGCATGAGATCCTAGCTACCTGTCCTTCTGATGCTAGTATCTGATGATCTGTATTGTAAAGGAGTGGCAAACCCTCATTTCAATTCCCATTTTGGATTCTGAGAACGAGAACATCTCTTTCAGGATGCAAACCCTGTTCTTGGACCCTTCCAATGAACACAGTTTGCCTAAGAGTCTGATCCTGACAGGAAATTTTATTTCACTAGTATTGATCTACACTGACTTACACCAGCTGAAGAATTTAAGCAGCCTCATCAAACATAAGAAGAAAAATAACTAGGGCAATTAACTTTTCAGCCTACAGCCCCATGATCACTTTTTTTATGAACAGTGTTCCATCAGTTCTTTTTTGCCCAGCTGACCCTGGTCTGCCAGTACTGTCAGATGTGCACATGCACAATGAACCAAAGCTGAACAGAACTTTCCTTCTCCCTGTGCAGGCCCATGCAGCCACGTGAACACTGGCACAGGGAGAGGGCCAGAAGAGCTGAATGGGATGGGGTGGAGGTAGGAGGGTACCTCTTTGAGAACCAACACTACTGTTCCCCTACTTGATCACGAAAGCACAGACCTCAATGGGAAACGACTGCTCGTCACTTCCTTTGAGCTTGCTTTTCTTTTCTGGACAACTCATTTTGGACATATTTACATTTATGACTGCAGTCATAAATGAAACACAATAAATAAATGCAATATAAATGTAATTTACAGATTTTTTTTTTTAGAATTGCACTGTAAATGGTTTTAATATTAATTTATTACATTTCCATATATATAAAAAGAGCTATTTTCACATTTCTTTAGTTTGCCAACTGTTCCTCATCAACGTGTAGATTCAAAAGTAATTATTACAGCATTAGATGAAAATGTTAAAAAATCTGCAAATTGGCTATTTTATAACACTCTTTGAATAGTACTGTAACATCAGGATTCCATCCATTAGCACCAATTAATTTTTTTTCAGAATTAAATTGCAAAAGCCATATTGTTCATGAAATAAAACTTTCCATAGAACTCAGGTGACAGTAACATGTCCAATTATTTTGGTACAGAGCCCAGATTTGATCATTTAACAGGACTGGTTTAGAAAACAGTATCCCACCTTACAGAATCTGAATAGTGAAGAATTCAGTGTCTTTTAATCATGTGTTATTAGGTATCATAATGTATTACTACCTACATAGGTGGTAGACTGCTGGTTTTAAGACCTATGTCTTTAAAACGAGCGTCTTACTTCTAGTTTCACCTCTGTTACTTTATCTTCCAGCACCTAGACCCGTATCTTTGCCTGGCAGGTTAAAACCCCATCTTGCTCTCTTCAGGCAAGTACTCCTAACAGCAATCATGCCACTTTTTAGTTTTGTCTTTAACAACAGATTGCATTTCTTTAAGCTCATTCTGCAAGGCAGGTTTTACAGAATCAAACAATTCTTGTATCACTTCTCCTTTTTGATGTTTTGAATAGTGATCTCACCAGTACAAAAGATCTCCTCTCTGCTTACATCTT